GAAAGGAATATTTTTGACTTKGGGCCCATATGCATTTTCTTTACAATCATAGTAAATAATAATACAGAAAATCGAGATCAAATGGTTTTTCAAAGGCATACGTAAAACCAAAATAAAATCAACCAATCCAGCTCACTTCAGCATCAAGATCCCTCTCAAAAACTAATCAATTTTGAACAACCCTATTAGCGTTTAACACCATAACAACGTAATTCTTTTTCGTTACTTTCGCCGATTCATTTAATAAGAAAAATAGAAAACAGTTTTCTGCTCGAATAATTCGACACGTCGATTTGGCAAGACGTTAAATTTTYGAATACAAATTTTACAACGRACGAGGAGTTCACGAGTAAAAAACCGAAAATAAAGAAAAACGTGGAGAAATCCGGGGCTGAACGACTCTCAACGACGGGTGTTCTACTTGTGTGACGAACACGGGAAGATTCAAGATACCAGAACGGATATTATATAATTCAGCAGAGACGACACCGGCAACTACAGAACCCCACGAAGTAGTTGCCCATAAGTAACCTACCTACCTAGGCTACGRCTCACATGCACAGGAACGGAGTCGAACAACGGAAACCGTACAATTCACACAATTCRTACAAAAGGCGTGAGCATGACACAACAACAAGCACACGCACGAGGAGGATGACACAGCTCGCATCGTACGCACCGCACAGACAACAAACAATGAAATCATAACCTCAAAAAAAAACATACGTACGCATGCCATATATGGGACGCATATTATCATCATMATAATAATAATATTGAACTAAGTTAACAAATATCACGTCAACCGCGAAACGTGCGTAATGTAGTCGATATGATACGACGATTTTGTGAGATCGCGTAATATGCCCCAACGAACGTGCTCCCAAACCAGTTGTCACTATTGTTGTGGACCGCGGGGATTGATCTTTGATGATAGCATTCGCATATTACTCAATACTCTATGGGAAAATCACAAACGACGTCTCTCCGAGATAATAATAATTTCGTATTACGGGCCGAGAGCGTTGGGCACGCGTTTTCTGGGGCAGACCTTGTGCGCCAGTGCGAAATGCGAATTCGCCGCCGCCGTCGTTTTCTAACCTTGAAAATCGGTCTAGCGCGCGCAAACACACGCGCCCACCGACGACGGCGGCTCGCTCGAGAACAAAAGCGTCGGCCTGACCGGTAGACTATCAAACTCAACCATAAACGCGGTGGGGGCACACTCCGACTTACTACTTACTAGTTACTATAATATTATCGTAACGCGCACGTGATGGGTATAATAATATTGTTATTATTATTATTATTATTATTATTATACCGTACAAGTATGTAATATATTATTTTATACGGATTTATACGAGATCGACGACGCCGGCAGCCGTTCGTTAGCTGTGAAATACTCTACCGATCGCTCACCATTTCCGTGCCCATGTCTTTCATGGTTGTCGGTTTGAACTCCTGCGACAAAATCATGCGTGTCTCCTCGGCGACGTGGACGAAACACGACGGCGTGTGGGTGAGCGGTTTAGTGTTCTACCCTACCACAACCGGCTTACGACCACATGTACTATTATATAGCAGTGACTCRGCGGGGGTGCGAATGACGCGCGCGAAACACGGTAAACTCGCGTGTTCATAAGACTATCAATTCGTTATTACACAAACACTCGTCGGAACAACACACGTCGAATCATATATTTACACACTATTTACAGAGATGTGACTACGGGGATGGGGAGAACGATATCGAGTGAGAGAACCGTTTGCCGAAATGCGAAATGTGTCCGGCTAATCGATGGCAGTAGATAATAATAATAATAATAATATTGCAGCAAAATCACACGGTTAACGGACGCGCCGGGACGGCAACATTTCGCACACGCACACGGACACACACTGAGCAGTGAGTACTGACACTGGCGCGGTGGCTGAGGGCTGCGGCCGCGGCTACCGGTCGCCCGCCACCCACTACCCACCGAACACCAAACCCGGTTGAAAACACTAGCGCTCCTCGCGCGCGCCGGCACAGCGGAATGTTTTTTAAAATAATATTATAATGCTATCATACGATTATATTATGTTGTTATTATTTATATTWGTATCCCTCCAAGCGGGAGTTCAAAACAATCGTGCGCTGACGACACATAATATCGTTTGTCTCTGAAATTTGAATAATATTGTTTTGCTTCGTATGCGCGACGCGATCAAATTACGATAGTTATAAATTATAATACGACCGACGACGAAAGCCGATAATATTATAAACTTAATAAATCGTTATAGACGTCTACGTCAATTTGTATATATGACGAGAATATTGTACAATTCCACCTCAGTCGCTGTGTTCTGTCGTTCCGTCGCTATCATTACTTTCGATATATTTTAAATAATGTAAAACATTATGTAAGGTCGTTATAAAATTAGTCACTTATTAATAATTGTTATATTATTAATTATTATATACCCGTAACAAAACTGCAGAAGAAACCATTGCACCAAAACGTCCAAAACGCACGGCGCGCGTGCGCGTTTGCGTCGGTACAACAGGTAGACACGACACGCGCGCATCAGGAGCCCTGGTACACCCGTGAGGTGGCGGTGCGTAGTCGTCATGATATGTGACGGGCGCGGATAGATTCGCGAGTCGCAACGGACGACGGACACGGGACAATCGCAAAGCGAACACCACGACGCCAATGCGTCGTTCGCTCTGGTCGTCGACACCCGGCGTGCCGTTCAACGCGACATTTCAATGATATTGTTGTGTTACACACGGCACATGAACGTTTGATGATGTCGGACGACGACGACTTCTAATCACCAACATTTTCGATTTCGAATATCGGTGACGGGCGCATGCCGCTTTTCGCGTATAAAATTCCAACTATTCCGAAGATAATCGGCCTATAGATAGACGGCAAGCTGCGTGCGAAAAGCAGAGAAATGCAATTGTTTTTTCCGCGTAATTCCACAAACAAGATTTATCTCTCGGTACCATATTATAATAAAATTTACAATTATGGATACTTTAAATTATATTTGCATGAAAATAAATTCTAAACTAATAATCAAGCATTATTCTGTTGCTAATTGCTATGGCAACAGTAAATAACTCTCGATGACGTCATTTGCAGTATAGTCACTTATCTAGCTTATTATTGACACTTATATCCGTAAGCCTAAATCATCTGATATCATTATAATTTATAAATATATATATAATACAATGCACAAACAAGACAGTAACAACAAATATAGTATTATAGTACAAATGAACTTGAGCTACTTTCAATTGTTTTAAAGTAAACTTCTGAATAATAAAAATAATGCACAGTTTGTATAATAAATAACAAATATTAAATCTACACAAACATGTAACATAATACAATCACTTATATTATATAATAAATAGTTATAAAAAACGGTGCAGTCAGAGAGTACTGAGTACTAGGTAGGTACTTCGTTTTATATTTTCTTTCAAAATTATAAAAATGAAATGTTTTAATATAATAATTTTTATTACTAAACAAATTATATCCTGATATCAATATATATTATGCTAAAAGTGCAGATACTTACTAATAAAAAATAAACAATAATTTTTTTTACAGAATTATTGTCAGATATCATAAGAAATTACTAAGTGTAATCAACTGTTTTTATCTGTCTTGCATGTTTTTATTACATAGTCAGATAAATAATATGTCCGAAAAATACATTAAAAAAATTCTAAGAACTAATTAATTTTGTTGATGAAACATTTTTACTCATTATTATTTTATTTATTTATTTTTAGGCGTTTAAATTATTATACATTAAAATTATCAACACAAGTAAACAAAAATTTACACCCGATTTGCAAATAAAAAATAACATGCATAATTCATCAAAATATTTTAACTAATAAAAATGGGGTGAGGATTAGAACATTTATAATTTAACCCTAGACTTCAAAAGTATTATGACACGCAAATTAGTTTGGCATAGACTCCTTATAAAATGTTAAAATGTTTAATATCCCATACTCCGACACCTTGTTTCAGCGGCGCTGGAGTCCTAAAATTCTAGTTGGGGAAAAATATTTCAAGAGGCTCAATATCGGCAAAAGTAGAGGAAAGTGGTCAATATGAAGAAACCCTATCCAAAATTTTCAAAATATGTAGGGCCAGGGTTTGATGCTACTGCCTTGATTAGTGTTGCGAAGCAATGCTTCTCAACCTTTTTTATCATAGGGGACCATAAATTTAATGTAAAACTGTCAAGCTCCCCCCCACCCCCATAAAAATTGTATTATTATTTAATAACCATAATCTAACATTAGACTTTATCGACAATGATTAATCATATGGCCAGTTATAATATAACTAAGCAACCAAAAATATTTTAAATGAAATAAATATTTCAAGGCCTCCCAATCATAAAGCCACGGCCAGGTTGAGAAGTACTATTGTAAGGGATTGGTTTGAATTTCAAGAATAAATATTTTGGTTATCTTAAATTAGTAAAGGGAGTCAAATAGTGATTAGATTACCTACATAATTAAATAGACACATTAAAATTGTTTGTAAAAACCATAATTATTATGATACATTTATCAACCTAAAGTAAACTATAAAACATTTACAATGTTTTTAAAAATCTTCTAGTATTTAAAAATGTTATAATACCAAGCATGTTTAATTATTTTTCACCTAAATTCTACATACTCGTACATGGAGTAAAATACAAAATTTAATTCAAAATGTATTAGTATTTGAAATACCTAAAAGTCGCAATACCTATAATTGATTTTTTTTTCATTGAATTGTGTATAAACTATTGTTTAGGTGTATAACTCAAAAAAACAAATAAGTTTAAAAAATTCTATTGTTTTTGAGATTCGAGTTATACTCTACTGCATAATAATAAGTATAATTAATATGATAGTTTATAATATTTATTTATTTTAGTACATTAAAAGGTTATAATATAAAAAAATCAAATAAAATACTTACTTCTCCATTTCGCATGTGTAAGTCCATAGTATGCTGCTGTTGGGTTGACATAATTGCATGTGCTGAATTATGTGCCATTGAAGAGTTTGCTAAATCTGCCATATGTTGCTGATAGGGATGCAACCCTGGAGGTGCTCCATAAACATACTGTTCTGCACCACCTTCACCAGACTAAAATATAATGTAAAAAGTATGTGAGTCACAATATAAACTTATAAAAAAATCTTTGATTTGATTTTTATATCTATGTAACTAGTAAAATACTAAAAACTATTATAAAACACAAAAATGATGAATTAGTGGTACAAATGTACAACATTGCTGTTAAATACCTTATAATTTAGACGTGCAACAATAATTATAATAGTTGAAATATGCATGCTAATTTTATTTAATAAAGCCTTAAGTMTTTCACTGTAACAATGGGGAGGAAACTTTTTTAAAACATATATAAAAAAAATGATATAATACGCATTCAAATTTGTTTAAATTATTAAACCTAGACTCAAATAAAAATATAATAGAGGATAAAAACTGCAATAATATTTATAACTAAAAGTACTAAATATTATGTATAAGCAAATTTATTTCACTAGATAAAAATTTTAAAATAATATCATATCTAAATGTCCATAAGTTATTAATATCTAAAACTGATGATTTTTATCGATCATGTGGGCTACATTATTAACAGGTAGGCCAGTGGCTATAGTAGTTTGGTCTTCTTGTCTTAAAAATAAGTTTCACAAGTAGAAAAACATATTTTCTATAACTTAGTGACGTCTCCAGTTACTCCATTTTACTATTAAAGCGATGGGGCATTGGATATTTACTTATATAAAAYATAAGAAGAACCTAAAAGTAAATTAATTGTTTTGTGCTGCGATGTGGTAGCAAATCAATTTAAACTCCAAACACAAATGATATCTAGATTAGAACTTAGAACTCAATCAGTACGAAATACAAATGTCACTTATACCCATCATTATGTCTAAGCACCTCATATAATTGATAAGGACCAGATATAGATAGAAATGGATATCAAATATAAATGTCAATTTATTTGATATCCCTAAAGTGGATAGAAGTTGGAGAGAATAAAATGTTGCTTGTTTGCGCATAATCATAGGCATAGAATGGCGGGTGGCCAAGGGTTGGCAATATACCCCCCTCCAGAATTCTATCCATGTATGAGAACTGAAACAATTTTATTTTTATAAAGGCTATAAACCTTCCCTCCCCCCCATATAAATTCATCACACTATGACTATACACATAATACCTTAATACACCATTAAAAACAATCACAATTTAATACAATAATAATGGTTTATTAACATTCAATTATATCATATTATGTTTTAAAATTTTGTTCAGGGCTCAACCCGTTAATGAATAATAAATAAATAATTAAATAGATATCACAAATTTTCGAACTGGCTTATTATTGCTATCTAAAACTACCGTAGACAAATTAACAAGCATGGAAGTTATAGAATGTACAGCTGGATAAATTTATGGTAGACATACTAGTAGTTGCTTTTGAAAAAAGAAGTAAAGCAGGAAGTACAAATACTATTTTTCAAGTCTATGAATCTGTTACGTGTGATAAAAGAATGTACAACAGAAGAAATTATTAGGGGCTGATATTGATATTGAAAATGTGGATGTAGATGGGTTGAATGATGAAGAAGAACCTGATTTTAGTAATAGAAAAAATTACAAAAAACCAACTGGTTTTTGGATGTTTAGTATGTGCCAAAAAGATGAATATTATGTTATYGCAGTAATATACCTACTTTATAAGAAGATATTACATGGCATAATTGAATGATGGAAAATGAGATTGATATTGGTACAGAAATACACTTAGATAAATGGTTGACATGTTATAAGACTATGGGTATGTACATAAATAGTCTACCATTCATATCTTTACTCCTATCATATTTAGTAGAACGATGGTAGCGACTAAAAATAATAAAAATTTTTCTTTCTGAAAGATGTTGTAAAATGTATTGTAATACATGGTATTTTTAGATAATTATTTTTTATTTGTTACAAATAATAGTAATAATTTTTTATACATAAAGAACATTTATACATTTACTATATATTTTACTAATATTTCTAGATGTATATATTTAATATAAATATATATAGTACAACACATATGAAAAGAATACCCACAATTTTATTCTCATAAATAAAATAAATGGAATAATTATTTTTTTAGTTTAAAATAATTTATATAATTATAATCTGTGAAATTATTAATTATCATAAAATTTTAAAAAATAGCATAACCTGGATTCATTTTTGGAAAAAGGTTTAAATTTGAAAACCATTTCTATTTTAGCAAGTCTGAAAAACTAAATGAATTTTTCTAGAAGAAGGAAGTTGGATTAATTTAGGTTTGAATAAAATCTTTGGGAGAAAAGAGATTTGACTTTATTTCTGCAAAATTTAGATGTACCATAGGTAACGTTCAAAAATTCCATAAAGCTAATATTTTTAGATTTACGATTTACCTATACTTATTTATTACAGTTGACATATTAATTATACTGTTTAAAATATTTTACTTTTTTAATTTTAAGATATTTGGATATTGTATTTTAGATCTTGTTAGGTTAGGTTAGTTATTTGTATAATTTGTGAACGATTGAAATTAAATTAAATTAAATATGTTATTTGTTGAACAAATGTGCATGGAGTTCAGATATTTGTAAAAAAAATCAAATATATTTTGTGGAGAGATCACAACTCCTATACCCCCACTCCGCTAGTAGTGCTTTTGTATATTAGTATTTGAACTAAAATATATTTAAAAATGTAGATAACATTTCAAATAAATAACAATTGCAGAAAGTAATTACTAGCATATTTGCTTTAAAACTTCATAAATTGGGTTTTCAAAAAAAAAAAAAGATTACTGTATAATTGGTATGCAAATTTTGTTTTTTTATCTTAAAAAATAAAAAATATGAATTATTTAATAAGGTTATAACCTCTCAGAAAACTTTTATTTTAGTTTATAATATTGATATTATATTTATAAGCTATTTATTCCCAATTAACTAAAAAAAAACTGTGTCCTATCTACGTGCATAAATATATAAAATATTCTCCTTTTTAAAGTTATACAAATCATAATATAATAAAACCTTTCTAAGTAATCAAAAATATATGAATAAAGCAACAGTTTTTTTTTTTAAATTCTCACTTTAACTAATATAGGTTGTAATTGATATTGTACATTTGGTACTTCAGATATCTGAGGTGGAGGTTGAGACATTTTCGCAGAGAAATATTTCCATTTCTCCTGCATCTTAAACATAAATAACAGTCAATCAAACCTCAAATCCTACTTTTTATCCTATATTATATTTTGTATAATAAGTGACATCTATAACAACAACAATATATTAACTTACTTGCTCTAAAAAACAGTCCTCAGAGGTTGCTGGCCACCTAGGCTGTGGGAGTTTAGATGGTAATGGAGCAGATTGCAATCCATATTCTTGTGATTCGCCTGATGCACAATCAAATACATAGTTAACAATTGGTTCTTCTTGTACTGTTTGTCGTAATACATTATCTCCACTTGGTTCATTCTCATTTAACTGTTGTTGATGCTCCTAAAATAATTAAGTTGTACATTTTTTGATGTATGGTAAAATATCAATATAATTATGTTTAAACTAGTAGCTAATATAATTATATTAATACATAATATAACTAACCTACTAACCATTTATTTTAAAATGAATGTATTATACTTTATTAAAATTTAACTGGTAAATTTATCTGTATTATCTTATTTTTTTTTGAAATTATAATTTATTTAAGTATGAATTATAACAAAATTATTATTAAGCTAGATTTAAAATCTGACTTTATGACAGTATCTTTAATAATTGCAGATCATACTTACACAATATAGAACTTGGGATATTCAATAATATTTCAAAAGAAATAATAAAAAAATTAAATAGAAATAAAAATAAAAATAAAAATAAAAATGAACAAAGTTTTAAGAAATTGATTTAAATAACAACATTAATCTGATTAATGTTCTTATTTTATTTTAGACTCTTACTCTCTTACTTATATGGTAGTATAATTTTTAATCAATGCCTACCTAATAAGTAATAATAATAATAATCACCAATATTTTATATTTATTCACTATACAGAAAAAATACTTTAACATAAATTACGAATCTTATGATTGTGTTAAATCGTTTAGATTAATATAAGCAACTTACTTGCAAATGATTACCACTGTTATTCAACACTGTATTATTTGTGCTGGAAACAGGTACATTCCCTGCGCCTAACCACTTCATTTGAAATTGTAAAAAACCTGAAATTTTTTTACTTTATAATTTCATTATAATAGGTAATCATTATAATAGGTAATCATAATATTAAATGGATATGAATACAAGGCTCCTCTGAGAAAACTCGTGAGATTAAAACTAATATTCACAATAAATATATTATTATAACCTAACTATATTAGTATAACTAATTTATAAAAACAAGTAAAATAATGTTAATGACACTAGATAGTAGTTATAATTTACTACAGAACACAAATTAAACCAATATATTTAAGTACAATATAATTAATATTATATGTATTTTAGAATTTATTGAAATATTTGAAATGGTTAAAGAATATATGATATAACTTTATAAATAAATTTAACATTATCATTAACTATCATCAATATAAGTAATCAAAAGTACCAATAAAATATGAAATACAACAACCATAAAACACTTGGTATATTATAATGAAGACACATGTTCTCATAATAAACATTTTTCAGAAATGTATAATAATAACTATAGAGCGGGCTATAGAGTAAAGTCTAGAAGTAACTCTTGGCCTTTATATAAATAATATAATTAATTCTTTAAACAGTTGGATAACTCATTTAAGGATTTAACTTATTACACACTAATTAAATTACAAATCTCTTTAATCAAACAGAAAATATTATGCCTAATTTATTAAATACTAAGATGCTCTATTCATATAATATATATTAAAGTACCTATATATAAGTTGATACAAATACCTACAAAAATTGTGTGAATACAATTTCAAAAATACTGAAATAGGTTATGTACAGAGAATATTAAGGAACCGGCAAAAAATTTAACAAGATTAATCTTTAATACAAGTAAATATACCTATAAGTTAAATACCAACTTATGTAGACTTATTTGTTCTTTAAATAAAATAAACTAAAATAATATATTAAATCCTTTATCACCTACATTTTATTATTCAACTTAAAAACATTGAATTCAGTATTCTAAATAAATTTAACTGAAGACCAAGTMATCTTTTTTACTCTAGAATGTGATGGGGTGAAATTGCTTGAATCAACATAATATGCGTATAGACAGAACATTTTACCACAAATAATACTTTTTATTAAGTATTAACATGAATACTCGGTATATAAGAAAAATGTTAACAACATAGATAACAAAATATAATCTTTTTTATATACACATTTTAAGTTTCTTTAACTTGTTAATAGAAGTAGGTAAAACAACTAGGGTCTGGAATCATGAACTAAGATTTTAGTTCATACTAAAAATTTTTAAGACCTGATGTAATAATATGGCATCATGCAGTAAATGTTGAATTTTCTAAACAAAGGTATGCTAAAACAATTATTTTACATGTGCTTAATACACAATTAATCTTCAGCCAAGTAAAAGTGACAATGACAGCAAATAAACAACAGAAGCAATTAAACAAATAATATTATTTTTACATACCTAATTATAAAATGAAAAATTTATAACATAGAGAATAACTTTAACAGTTGACTTTACTAAGATCTTCTATTAAGATCAAAGGAACATCAAAGTTAGACAGTAAGTATCACAAAGGCTAAAATATATTAAGTAAAATTATATCATGATAATTTTGAATCTACCTAAACATTAAAAAAAAAAAATAGTGAAGCAACTTAAATATCCTATATAAATAACGAAAAACGAACTTATTAGCATGAATTACTAGAAGAATACAATAACTATAGCTAAACAGTGAATTAACATCATAAGATAAACTCAAATCAGTATTAATAGGGAGTAGTTAAAGTTAAATTATAATATTATGATCTATTTGCGTGCATTGAATGTCAAAGATGGGCAAACTGGGACGAGTCACGGGCGAAGTGGACTTAGCTTACATGGGTATTTGGTGAACTCACTTGTAACTATAGCCGGCGGATGGTGAAYGAAGAACCAATTGAACCGATGGAAAAACGTTCAGCAATAACCGATAGATGATTTGTTTACACTGTTATTAATCAATCGACGGTTTTTTAATTGCAATACTATTGGGCAATGGCTAATTGTTTCAATTTTATCTATTTATATTATTGTTATTTATTATTATTATTGGTATTTATTCAAAGTACCTCTGGAACGCACAGCCGGCACTCAGCAATCGCTCACACCACACACACACATACACGCACAGACACACAAAAGGAACGGACGAACGGAACTTTACAAAATTTTACAACACGAAATATCTGTACACCTATATAATATATACTACACACGTATATAATATATATTTTGTATGATAATTTTTTTAAATTTTTTTTTTTAAGCTATGATATAATATTTACAAATTACGCGGCCTCCGTCGGGAGGTTTTGTCCACCATTGAATTACATTAGACAAGGACGGTCGACATTGATAGTTCTCTATGGTGTTCGCTCTGTCGTACGCGCACACGACCACGGTATACCGTACGGTCGTCTCGCTTCCGCCCGTGCACAACGATCGGGTGTTCCGCGACGGCCTGTGCAATTCTCTCTCTTGCACCGCCACTGCAACCCCCCACCTCCGTCACTCGGTCAACAGATAAAACGGTAGCTGCTACAGCTGCTGCGGCGGCACTGTTCGGAAGACCTGATAATGGTGCTGCGCGGCGGTGGCCTTGCCGAAGTGTTGTTGATACAGTACGGTCGGCGAGGCGCCGGTGGGCGGTCACCTGGGTGCTTGTCACAAAATATTCACAATCACACGAGCCCATCCATTGAACCGTTCTATGATTGAACCATACCGATGACAATATCCGTAACGCCATTGCTCCGACCATCGTTGATCGCCGTTTCTCCTCCACGCTGACCGCAAAAGCTGTACCATAATTCGGGGCGCGCTACACCACCGGCACTGCCTTAGATTATAAATTATTATATTATAACTTGGGTCGACACTCGACAGTCCATGGGCCGTGGCTCGGTCCTCGTCCTCGGTGGCTACTGGCTCTAGTCTCTATCACTATCTGTCATCGGTGGATACCTCATACCTATGTTATGAATATATTTTTATTATAATAAGAGTAGTCCCATTTATTTATAACAATATTTTTAGTATGAATTGGTCTATTATAAGAATATTATTCTTCTATTAAAAAATATGATCATGCGTCTTTATAAGTTAGAACATAATATTAATAGTCAAAATAAAATATAATAATAATTAAATGTTTAAATTATTGCACATCACATTTTAATGACAAGAAATCCAGACACGACACATATTTGAAAAAAAAATTGGGCTTTTTATTTGCATTCAACATAACAACCAAGTCGACGATCTATATAGTTATATTATATATTTATATTATTATATATAACTGTGGAATATGGATTTATCATACTGACGTACAAATCTACTATCACCGCTATGGCAACTGGCAATCGTTATTGAAAAGATGTAAATGGTATTGACGATTCAAAAATTGAAGCAGGGAGAAAATTTTTACAATATTTGTTTAGTTAAATCAATATTATGTTGAAAAATCACGATTATAACTATTTTTGTATGACTATTTATATTTATTTTTTAGTTACCTCCTAGAGTAATATACAGAGGCCATTAGGTATATACCGTCGATGTTAACTTATTGATACGCAAAGCGTGGATATTTAACAGGGCTCTCGTTATCACTTAAATAGTTAAATGCGGTACCTGCAGAATGCAGATATGCATTGTGTGATACTAATTAAGCATGTTTTTTAAACTCTTTAATTACTTCAAAAAATAAGGCTGGCGATAGAGTGGTTTAATTTACCTTAGTGACAGTGTCATAAATATTTTTTTCAATGATGGAAAAAGTATTTTTTTAAATGCAGTCAGAAGTCTTAACCCATTTTTTATATAACTCAAACTTATTCACATTATTAAAAACTCATATTCATGAAAAATAAGTCCATTAACTGCAGATAATAAAACTTTTTTAATAAAACCAATTACTTACCTTATACATCAACCTATGTTAATTTAAAAAATTATTATACTATAAAAACCCATAATAAAACACCATCACTAAATATGTAATATAAGAAACTCACGATTTTTAAAGATCATTAACACCTTTTTTTCTTTGTAAAATTTTGTATTAATAAAATAACAACTAATAAACATACTGTATTATATTTAGGTATGACGGTATAAGTATAGTTAGAAAAGTTAATAAATATTTTAAACTATTCCTAACCCATTTTGTTTCACCTTAATATTGTGAATATAAATTATAGAGTAATATAGCTCTATGATATAAATTCATAATAATTGTAATATTACTACTATTTTAAACACATAGTGCAATATTAAGGTATGACTTGAATTATGATACAAAATGACAAGTACAATTTTTTTAATTTTATTGGTGGTTACACTGTGAATTATCCACAGTTTCCGTGGAAACGGCCACTCTATATTACTCAAAGAGTTACCGACATAGGCGCACATAGTGGGGAGGGGGCGCTTGGGGGTGCTAAGCACCCCCAGTTTCATGTAAAATTTATTTTAGTATGTCGCCAATAATTTGTCAATTTTTATGATTTATTGAGTTGGAAATTTTTTTTTTTCATTGTAAATAGACAATATTAATATAGTTCACGAATTCACAGTATTGTATCACGTTCCCCTGTTTAAGTTTTCGCCTAAACATTTAACAATAAATAGCACTTATAATATTATAGGAAATCATATTATATTATATGTATATAATCTTACTTTATATTCTTATCTACTGTTCAATGTTCATGGTTGGCTAGACAGTCGTGGCTACGAAATTATTACCGATGGACGATGGTATTTATACTTGGTACCTAAATGAATTTACAGATACCTTTTTATAATAAAACACCTGAATAAAAATAATTTATGCATTTTTTCTCATCGCACTCAAAGTATGGGTCGTACTCCTTACGGAAACTACGTGACCCATACGAGTTAGCAGCAAAAACTTTGCTGAGAATATATTTTCATGGGATATATACTCGTAGTTATCACTAATCAATTAAATAGTCACAGTATATTTTTGTAGTTTTACATTTTTAACTTTTAAAGACAGTTAATCATTAAATTTTTTTATCTTTCAGGATTTAAAAATAGTAAACCAAACGAGTAGAATATCCACTTGCCAATATCAAAAAAGTTGTCTTCATAGATATAAGTGTGTATAGCATTTACAATTATTTATTGGAACATTATATCAAATACAAATCATTTTGAAGCAATGATTTACAAAATGTTGAACATGAAACCAATTATTTTTAGGCGAAAAGAGAAAACTATTTTCTCATTTCTGGGCGAAAAGAGGAAGGTAATTTTTAGGCGAAAGGAGCGTTATTACTCACAATTATCAGCTGAATAATAGAATGTGCTAGTATACAATTTGAACATCCACGATCAAACTCAGATTTTACAAGAGGCCGGACACAAATTGCTACTATTATAGAGTCCAAATTGTACAACTGGAAAAATAAATTATTTTGTTAAAATTAATATTTTTTATAACATTTATAATGTATTTTCACCGGGTACATAGTTTACCACCAATAGTTATCATTAAATAACTTAATTTTCAGTTCGTTTCAAGTTGAACTGACGGTTAACATATATATTTATATTTTTAATACAAATTAATATTTTACTTTATATTTTGGTAAGAGATTGTAAAAACAGCAAGAATTAATAATAATTATAGGTTGTGTCGGTTGTGATGAKCATTCCTTTGAGGATGAAAACTGGCCATATATTTTATCCTCTGCGACCTAGCATCTTATACCAAATTTAAGTTTAGTCGAACAAATTAGATATTGTTATATAACAAATTATATATATTTATTTTAATATTTTAGCATTGATATTTTATATTGTTATATAACAAATTATATATATTTATTTTAATATTTTAGTACCTTATAGGCTATTATTAAAATATTAATAAAATCCTTGAATATGGTTGTAATATTATACAATTTTAATTTTTAATATATTAAAGTAGGTATTTAAGACTTTGTTTCAAATCGTATGTTATGTGACAACATTTTACTAATTGGTCGTTAGGCAACTATACTATCTTCAATCGTGGGTACGAATTAAGATTTACTTACTAATTAGTATAAATAGATTTATTTTTTCATGTTAATTACTAATATTAGTATAACTTAATTTAGCCCATGGATTTATCAATTATTCGTTATCTTTAACAATAACATTTTGACTCGATTTCAATTATTATTTGAACTGAAAAAAAAATTGTCAAAATTAAACAATTTCAATTTTTTCCTAAAACCAGGACATATAGGCGTCCCGAAAAAGTTTTTCGGGACACCGGGACACAAAGTAGAAAACCGATGACAGTCCCGGTTTTTCGGGACGTATGGCAACCCTAACTTAATTCTTGCCATGGGGTATAACCATTAACCATCATAACCATAAGCATATAAACTTGGTATAACCATAGTGTAACCTGTTAGTGATACTGATAACCAAGGACGTCCATACTCCGTGCTGATAAGTAATAACGAAAAACGTGATTACTGACTACTGAAAGTGAAAATCCTTAATCCATGCTGGTGTTTTAATATTTTGAAGTAATCCAAGTTATTTCTTAAATACAAGATTAGCATTTTTCTGCAAATCTGCATTTCAACTTCAATTTTATATGTTCTACACTTCTACTTACTAGTTACATTCTGTGTTTCAGCTTCGTGGGTTAATTTGAATTGTGTAGTGGTATAGTTCTTTACTCAAAGTCACTCCCGCGTATTATAGATGGCTACAATTTATTGTTTGTTAATTCTTAGGATCACAATTATAAAGTCGACCTTAAATATACTCGTGGATCGTGAATGATCAGTAAGTAACTATTTTAATTAGAAAAGTTAGTTTTGACTCTTATATTGTACATTGTACATTTGTACCTCTTAAGTATATTATGTTTTAACTTTTAACTTATAAAAATAGTGCTTCTTGCCAAATCAATTTTTGAAATTCTTTATCAGTATATTTTGTTGTTTAATATCCTAAGAAAAATTTTGCCATTTTTATTAGCTTCAACCAAAAGTTAATCTTGACAATTAATCAATTACCTAATAAAAAATGTTATAACTTATAAGGCAAAATCTATAATAATTGATTCTTGAAAACTTTTTATACACATTTTAACATATTTCATATAAATGATATAAACAAAATACATATTATGAACTTGTTATACTCTTTATCAATTTTATATTAAAATTTGAATGATAAAACAATAATTATTAATCAATATAAATTCATAACTTCTATACAAGTTTTGATATGTATGTTCTTAAAATCTGTATTGTCTAGAACTTGGGTCTACATAACTACCAT